AATCCTGGTTTGGTACCTCTCTGATACTCCTCCTATTTGGCCTCCTCCACACCTTATTAATGGAATATGAGTCTATATTGATTTTTGGGATATAGGAATATATGTGTATGTATTAAGTGGCATACAAGAGCACTGAGAGGATTATAGTATTAATCACAAACTATATGCATTTTATATGATTTTTTATTTATTATTTTGGTTTAATGTATGTTTAGCGCTACACTAATTTAAATATATGTGTGCCCAGCATTGCCACCCACGTGTGCCCATAAGTGTTGCCCACCTGTGCCCATAAGTGTTGCCCACCTGTACCCAGCAGTGCCACCCGCCTGTGCCCATAAGTGTTGCCCACCTGTGCCCAGCATTGCCACCCACCTGTGCCCATAAGTGTTGCCCACCTGTACCCAGCAGTGCCACCCGCCTGTGCCCATAAGTGCCGTCCACCTGTGCCCATCAGTGCCACCTACCTGTGCCCAGCAGTGCCACCCACCTGTACCCAGCAGTGCCACCCACCTGTGCCGATCAGTGCCAGCTCAGTGCTGCCCATCAGCGCCGCCTATCAGTGCCACCGATCAATGTCCCCTATCAGTGCCTATCAGTGCAGCCTCATCAACGCACATCAGTGAAGGAGAAAAATTACCTGTTTCCAAAATTTTTATAATAGAAACAAAGAAAAACTTATTTTCAAATTTTTTTGCTTTTTTTATAGCGCAAAAAAAAAAAAAAAAGACACCCAGCGGTGAGTACATACCCCCAAAAGAAAGCTCTATTTGTGTGAAAATAAATTATAAAAATTCATATGGGTACAGTGTTGCATGACCGCGCAATTGTCATTCAAAGTGTGATAGCGCTGAAAGCTGGGCAGGAAGGGGGTAGAAGTGTCCAGTAGGCGAGGGATTAAGGCTGAACTACAGGATAAGCAAATATCATCCAAAGACGAGTCCTGTGTATTCTTCCTGGTATCTGTGCTGTGCGTACTTCTTCCAGATCTGTGCAGGAGCTTCCTGTAATAAAGACCGCTGACTGCTTCTCTCCCTTCTTGTGCAGGGTGACTGGTCTTGTCTCCGCCCCATCCTGTAGTTTTCTATAGGCCAGCCTGTAGAGGGTGGAGCCTGCTGGGCCCCTCCCACAGCTCTGCTCTGTCTCCTCGTGCTGGGTGACTGGTCTTTTCTCCGCCCCCTCCTGTATGCCTGTAGTGGGTGGAGCCTGTTGCAACAATAAGAAAGTTAGTATATTGTGGTGAAAATGATAGTAAAAAGTCAATGATTGCATTTCTTTGATGTATTGTGAAATTCTGAATGTTGGCTGATGGGATTCCCCCTACTTACTAAATAAAGGAAAGATAATAGTAAAAAAGGGAAAATAAATAGCTAAAATGATTGCACATGAAATCTAGATTTCTGCTGTGTAATAAAATGGAAGGATTCTTATCAGGGCCAGGCAGGGCTGGGCCAGGTGGGGAAGGTTTCCCCTATAATAAAACATTATTAAATTAAAGGAAAGAGGGAAGTCATAGTAAAAATGATTACACATGAAATGTAGTCTTATGTGGTGTAAGAAAATGAAGGGTTCTGCATCAGGGCCAGGCAGGGCAGGGCAGGGTTGGGTTGGGTTGGGTTGGGTTTGCCCTGTCCTGCCTGGTCCAACCCTGTCCTGCTGCAAAAATCCTTCATTTTATTATAAGTTCCCCCAATAAAAAAACATTACTAAATAAAGGATAGAAAATAATAAAAAAAAAAAAGGGAAAAAAATAGCAAAAATGATTACACATGTGTAAGAAAATGAAGGGTTCTGCATTAGGGCCGGCCAGGCAGGGCAGGGGTCAGACCGGGCAGGGTTGGGTTGGGTTGTCCCTGTCCTGCCTGGTCCAGCCCTGTCCTGCTGCAAAACCCTTAATTTTATTATAGGTTCTCCCCATAAAAAAATCTCTCTAAATAAAGGAAAAAGGAACAATGAAGATAAATTCCGGACATTGTGAGATGATTATATCCAGCGTCAGAACATGGCTCCTTCGTCCTCCTTGATCAGGAAATAGATGGTCACCGGCCCATGGCTTTTATGGACAGTCTGTGTTACTCCTGCCTGCCTGGTCCAACCCTGTCCTGCTGCAAAACCCTTCATATTATTATAGGTCCCCCCATAAAAAAACATTACTAAATATATGAAAGATAATAGTAAAAAAGGGGAAAAGCAGTAAAAAATGATTACACATGAAATGTATGCTTATGTGGTGTAAGAAAATGAAGGATTATGAATTAGGGCCAGGCAGGGCAGGGTTGGGTTGGCCCTGTCCTGCTGCAAAACCTTTCATTTTATTATAGGTTCCCCCATAAAACAATATCTCTAAATAAAGGAAAGAGGAACATTGTAGATAAATTCCAGACATTATGAGATGATTGTATCCAAGGTCAGAACATGGCTCCTTCGTCCTCCTTGATCAGGAAGTAGATGGTCACCAGCCCACGGCTGGTATGGACAGTCTCTGCTACTCCAGCCTGGTCCAACCCTATCCAGCTGCAAAACCCTTCATTTTATTACAGGTTCCCCCCATAAAAAAAAAACCATTACTAAATAAAGGAAAGATAATAATAAAAAAGGGAAATAAATGTGTAAGAAAATGAAGGGTTCTGCATCACAGTCAGACTGGGCAGGGTTGGGTTGGGTTGGCCCTGTCCTGCCTGGTCCGACCATGCCCTGCTGCAAAACCCTTCATTTTATTATAGATTCCCCCATAAATAAATCTCTAAATAATAAAAAAAGAGGAACCTTGTAGATAAATTCCAACATCATGAAATGATTATATCCAACGTCAGAACATGGCTCCTTCGTCCCCTTTGATCAGGAAGTAGATGGTCACCGGCCCACGGCTGGTATGGTCAGTCTCTGCTACTCCTGCCTGGTCCAGCCCTGCCCTGCTGCAAAACCCTTCATTTTATTATAGGTTCCCCCCATAAAAAAAATATCTCTAAATAAAGGAAAGAAGAACATTGTAGATAAATTCCTGACATTATGAGAAGATTGTATCCAACAGCACAACATGAACATGGCTCCTTAAATGACATCCTCCTTGATCAGGAAGTAGATGCTCACCAGGGCCCATACGGGAAGTAGATGCTGGTATAGACAGTCTCTGCTACTCCTGCCTGGTCCAACCCTATCCAGCTGCAAAACCCTTCATTTTATTATAGGTTCCCCCCATAAAAAAAAATTACTAAATATATGAAAGATAATAGTAAAAAAAGGAAAAACAGTAAAAATGATTACACATGAAATGTATGCTTATGTGGTGTAAGAAAATGAAGGATTATGAATCAGGGCAGGGTAGGGGTCAGACCGGGCAGGGTTGGGTTGGTTGGCCCTGTCCTACCTGGTCCAACCCTGTCCTGCTGAAAAACCTTTCATTTTATTACAGGTTCCCCAATAAAAAAATATCTCTAAATAAAGGAAAGAGGAACATTGTAGATAAATTCCTGAACATTATGAGATGATTGTATCCAAGGTCAGAACATGACTCCTTCGTCCACCTTGATCAGGAAGTAGATGGTCACCAGCCCACGACTGTATGGACAGTTGGGTCTGGCTCCTGCCTTCGACCAGCCCTGCCCTGCTGCAAAACCCTTCATTTTATTATAGGTTCCCCCCATAAAAAAAAAACATTAATAAATATGAAGGAAAGATAATAAATAAAAAGGGGTAAAAATCCTGCTGCAAAAATCACCCTTTCATTTTATTTATAGCATAAAATGATTGTAGATAAATTCCAGACATGAAAATGTATATCCAACGAAGAACATGGCTCCTTCTCATACCTCCTTGATCAGGAAGTAGATGGTCACCGCCCGCCCACGCAGGTCACTCCTGCCTGGTCCTGGTCCAGTGCAGCTGAAAAAAACCCTTCATTTTATTATAGGAAAGAAGAACAGTAGATAATTGTTGGGAAGATTGTCCAATGTCCATGCCCTGATCAGGAAGTCACCGGCCCACGGGGGCTATGACCACCCCTGCCCTGCTGCAAAAACCCTTCATTTTATTATAGGTTCCCCCCATAAAAAAAAAATTAATAAGTAAAGGAAAGATAATAATAAAAAAGGGAAAAAAAATAGCAAAAATGATTACACATGTGTAAGAAAATGAAGGGTTCTGCATCAGAGTCAGACTGGGCAGGGTTGGGTTGGGTTGTCCCTGTCCTGCCTGGTCCGACCATGCCCTGCTGCAAAACCCTTCATTTTATTATAGGTTCCCCCATAAAAAAATATCACTAAATAAATGAAAGAGGAACCTTGTAGATAAATTCCGGACATTATGAGAAGATCGTATCCAACGTCAGAACATGGCTCTCCTTCATCCTCCTTGATCAGGAAGTAGATGGTCACCGGCCCACGGCTGGTATGGACAGTCTCTGCTACTCTTGCGAATAGCCAGGATCCCAGGCCATACATAAGAGTGGGGATCCCTGCCAAGCCAAACAAAAGAACCAATCAGAAACCATTCTGGAGCCACAGCAACATCATCATCACGTTCTACATCCTCCCGTCGCCGGCTCCCCCCGCTATTGTACCAGCGATGGAGAGGAGGGATAACTTTATTTTATTTATTTATGTTCCAAGCATCTCTGCAGCTTTACTAATGAAAGGCAGCCAGAGAGATAATAATGCGATTAATATGAAACCCATAATAACCCGCTAACATAATGGGCTGTTCTAACCAACGGCAGCAAGGGAGATTTTAATAAGCTGCAATAATAAAGCAAAGTAATTAATCCCAGCCATATGGATAAGCAGCCACAGGAAGCCACGCTCCGCATATTCTGTTTGAAAAGACAATTGATGGCCTTTATAAAGCTAAAATATTTAATAAGCCTTGGGTGGGAGGCAGGATGGAGTGTGTGGGGTGTAATTACAGCATCTCTCCATCACTTACCTAGATTTATGGCTTTCAGGCTGGTAAAGAAGTGGTTGAGGCGACGCAGGTCCTGGGGGGCAGCGCGGGAGCAGTGATACTTAATGAATGGGAAGCAGCCTGTCCGGAGGACGTGGTAATTTGTGCCTTTCACTTCCCAGTTGAAGTTGGATAAACCAAACTGGTCGTTGTTGGCGGCGCTGTACTTCACGCAGAAGGAGGTCCAGGGCGGCAGGTTCCGCTGGAGGAGGTGCTGGTGAGAACCTCGGAAGCATCGGGGCGAGACGGGCGGAGGAGGGATCCCGCCGGGGGGGAAGAGGAGAATCCGTAACAGGGTTTCGTGGGCCGTCCCGTGCCAACAGCATGACTGCCAGAGAGGAGAGAAGGTTCACAAGTAGATAATGAACACCACGGGCAATGGACGTGCCGATCACAGCAAACTGGGGATCACGCCGAGCAGAAGAATGAAATTCTACCACCAGGGGTCTCCAAACTGCGGCCCTTTGATTGACCTTATCTGGCTCTTGGGGCAATTTTTCCTCCCACTTATACAAGACACTATTCTTTCCACTGACACCCACAAGGGGCATAATTCCTGCTACTGACATCAACAGCAAAACTATTCCTCCCATTCACACCAACTGGGCACTATTCCTCTCACTGACACCAAGAACGGGCACTATTCTACCCACTGACACAAACAACGAGCACTATTCTACCCCACTGACACCAACAACAGCACTATTCTACCTCCCACTGACACCAACAACAGGCACCTATTCCTACCCACTGACACCAACATTGGGCACTATATCTACCCACTGACACCAACATGGGGCACTATTCCTCCCATTGACACCAACGATGGGCACTATTCCTCCCATTGACACCAACGATGGGGCACTATTCCTACCATTGACACCAACAATTGGGCGCATTATTCCCACTACCCACTGACAACATGCTATTCGACCAATGACTCCCAACGGACACTATACTCGACCCACTGACACCAACAACGGACACTATTCCTCCCACTGACAACCAACGATGGGGCATTGTTTACTCCCATTCACACAAACAGTTGGACATTATTCCCTCTCACTGAAACAAACCATGGGCACTATTCCTCCCACTGTCACCAACAACGGCACTATTCCTCCCACTGAAACACAAAGGCGAAACAAAACACCAACGATTGAGGCACTATTCCTCTCCACTGAAACATTGACACACATTCCTCTCACGATGAGGCACTGTTCCTCCCCATTCACATTTCAAAAATTGGGACACTATTCCTCTGACACTGAAAAAACTGACCACACGGGGCACTATTTCTCTCACTGACACCTCCACAACAGCACTATTCCTCCACTGACACCAATGACGGCGCACTATTCCTCCCACTGTGATACCAATGATGGGGAACTTATTCCTCTCAATGACTGATACCGTCCCATGATGGGCGCACTATTTCGGGGCACTCCCCCACTGACACCAATGATGGGGCACTATGTTCTCCAACCACCAATACACCAAGAATAGGGCGCACTTATTCCTCCCCTAATGCCAAAGATGCATTGCTTACTCCAATGAAGGACAATTTCTACTCCCAATGGCCACAGTCCGGCCCTCCTAAAGTCTGACCCTTAGTTTAGAAAGTTTGGACGACCCCCTGCTCTACACAGTATATACAGTTGCAAGAAAAAGTATGTGAACCCCTTGGGATTACGTGGTAGTTTTGCATGAACTCAGGGCAATAAAATGTGCTCTGGACGTCATCTAAGTCACAACAATAGAAGAACACAGTCTGCTGAATCATAATACTACACAAACATTAGATGTTTCCATGGTTTATCAATTGCACATAACATGTAAACATTCACAGTGCAGGGGAAAAAGTAAAAAGTATGTGGAGGCCCTAGCTTAATGACTTCCCCAGAGAGCTAATTGGAGCCAGGAGTGAGACCAACCTTGACTCTCATCCAATCAGTGCGATGATAATCCTGATAGTGTTGCTGACAGCTGTCCTGTCCCTTAAAAAACACACACCTGTTGTTGGGCTTACTGGTTTCAAGAAGCACTAGTGTGATGTGAACCATGCCTCGCAGAAAAGAGCTCTCAAGAAGACCTACGATCAAGAATTGTTTGACTTGCATGAAGCTGAACTATGTCTGTCAGTCTCTGGTCATCCCTTGTACTAAAAACTGTGTCCGCAGTCTCTGTCATCTTTCCTGTACTGTGTCCGCAGTCTTTGGTCATCCCCTGTACTACGTTTGCAGTCTCTGTCATCTCCTGTACAGTGGTCCGCAGTCTCCGGTCATCTCCTGTACTGTGTCCGCAGTCTCTCCGGTCATCTTCCTGTACTGTGTCCGCATCTCTGGTCATCTCCTGTACTGTGTCCGCAGTCTCTAGTCATCTCCTGTACTGTGTCCGCCAGTCTTCTGGTCATCTCCTGTACTGTGTCCCGCAGTCTCTGGTCATCATCCTGTACGTGTATCCCGCAGTCTCTGGTCATCTCCTGTACTGTGTCCGCAGTCTCTGGTCATTCTCCTGTACTGTGTCCGCAGTCTTTGGTCATCTCCTGTACTGTGTACGCAGTCTCTGTTCATCTCCTGTACTGTCCCGCAGTCTTTGGTTCATGCTGTCTGCAGTCTCCTGGTCATCCTCCTGTAACTGTGTCCGCAGTCTCCGGTCATCTCCTGTACTATGTCTGCAGTCTCTGGTCATCTCCTGTACTATGTGTCCGCAGTCTCTGGTCATCGTCCCTGTACTGTGTCCGCAGTCTCCGGTCATCTCCTGTACTATGTCCGCAGTCTCTGGTCATGCCCTGTACTGTGTCCGCAGTCTCTCGGTCATCATCTCCTGTACTGTGTCCGCAGTCTCTGGTCATCTCCTGTACTATGTCTGGAGTCTCTGGTCATCTCCTGTACTGTGTCTGCCGTCCATTGGTTCAGAATATATTTTTTTTCTTGTTTTTTTCTCCTCTAAAACCTAGGTGCGTCTTATGGATTGAAAAATACGGTAAATCATATATAACCACATGAAGACTGGACCTATTCTAACACTTCTCCCCTACATGTCCATTTTTCTGCTAGAAATTAACTTAGAACCCCCCCCCCCCCCCCCCCAAACGTTATATATTTTTTTAGCAGAGGCCGTAGAGAAATAAAATGGTGGTCCTTGCAATTTTTTTTATGTCACACGGTATTTGCACAGTTTTTTTCAAATGCAATTTAAAAAAAAACAAAAAATATAAAGAACACAAAAAAAAAAAAAAACACAACACACTGTAACCCCTCACCTGTCAGGCACTTTTACCCCCCTTCCTGACCAGGCCAATTTTCAGCTTTCAGCGCTCTCACACTTTGATTGACAATTGCACGGTCATGCAACACTGAATCAAAATACATTTTTATCATTCATTTTGGTCACACAACTAGAGCTTTCTTTTGGTGGTATTTATTCACCACTGGGGTTTTTTATTTTTTGCTAAATTAACAAAAAACATTTTGAAGAAAAAACTATTTTCTTTGTTTCTGTTATAAAAGTTTGCAAATAAATAATTGTTCTTCATAAATTTAGGCCGAGATGTATTCTGCTACATGTGTTCGGTGAAAATAACCCGAATCAGTATTTATTAATTTAGTCTGTAGAAAGTTATAGAGTTCACAAACTATGGATATATCTGAAAATCGATCCATCCTGATGTACTGACGGCCAATCTAATTTCTTGAGTACAGTACAGATATTCCCCAAATGGCCCCTTTTTGCAAAATAGGCAATCCAGGGTATTTAATAAGAGGCATGGCAAGTTTTTTTCGAAGTTGTAATTTTTTTTTTGTCATGATTTTTGGGAAAATGAAGAAATTTAAAAAAAAAAAAAATGTTTACTGTTTTTTTTTTTTTTTTTTACATATGGTCATCAGTGCAGTACAGCGTCATCATATACTGTATAACTTGCTCCATAGGACGCACCTAGGTTTTTCTTAGAGGAGGAGAAAAGATTGCGGGACCACCGAGGATTTACAGGGATGACAAACAGAAAAAAAAATATTCTGAACCAATGGACTGCGGACACAGTACAGGAGATGACCAGAGACTGCAGACATAGTACAGAGATGAGATGACCAGAGACTGGACACAGTACAGGAGATGACCAGAGACTGCGCGGACACAGTACAGGAGATGACCAGGAGACATGACGCGGACACAGTACAGGAGATGACCAGAGACTGCGGACAACAGTACAGGCAGATGAGCACAGTACAGGGGATGACCAGAGACTGCGGACACAGTACAGGGGATGACCAGAGACTGCGGACACAGTACAGGGGAGCCATATGACAGAGACTGCGGACACAGTACAGGGGATGACCAGAGACTGCGGACACAGTACAGGGGATGACCAGAGACTGCGGACACAGTACAGGGGATGACCAGAGACTGCGGACACAGTACAGGGGATGACCAGACAGAGACTGCGGACACAGTACAGGAGATGGCCACAGACTTGCGGACACAGTACAGGAGATGACCAGAGACTGCGGACACAGTACAGGGGATGACCAGAGACTGCGGACACAGTACAGGGGAGTACAGACCAGAGATCTGCGGACACAGTACAGGAGATGACCAGGAGACTGCGGACACAGTACAGGGGATGACCAGAGACTGCGGACACAGTACAGGGAATGACCAGAGACTGCGGACACAGTACAGGGAATGACCAGAGACTGCGACACAGTACAGGGATGACCAGAGACTGCGGACACAGTACAGGAGATGACCAGAGACTGCGGACATAGTACAAGGGATGACCAGAGACTGCAGACATAGTACAAGGGATGACCAGAGACTAGCGGACATAGTACAAGGGATGACCAGAGACTGCAGACATAGTTCAGCTTCATGCAAGTCAACAATTCTTGATCGTAGGTCTTCTGACAAGAGACTGCAGAGCTCTTTTCTGCGAGGCATGGTTCACATCAGACAATGCTTCTTGAAACCAGTAAACCCAAAAACAGGTGTCAGCAACACATCCAATATCATCACACTGATTGGAGTCAAGGTTGGCTCACTCCAATTATCTCTGGGAGAAGTCATTAAGCTAGGGCCCACATACTTTTTTCCTCCCTGCACTGTGAATGTTTACATGTTATGTGCAATTAAACCATGGCAACATCTAATGTTTGTGTAGTATTATGTTCAGCAGACTGTGTTCTTCTATTGTTGTGACTTAGATGACGTTCAGAGCACATTTTATGCCCAATTCATGCAAAACTCCACGTAATCCCAAGGGGTTCACATACTTTTTCTTGCAACTGTATATACTGTGTAAAGCAGGGGTCTCCAAACTTTCTAAACTAAGGGTCAGACTTTAGAGGGCGGACTGTGGCCATTGGGAGTAGAAGTTGTCCTTCATTGGAAGTAAGTAAGCAATGCATTTTTGGCATTAGGGGAGGAATAGCGCCCTATTTCTTGGTGTAAGTTGGAGAAATAGTGCCCCATCATTGGTGTCAGTGGGAGGAATAGTGCCCCATCATTGGTGTCAGTGGGAGGAATAGTGCCTGTTGTTGGTGTCAGTGAGAGAAATAGTGCCCAATTTTTGATGTGAATGGGAGGAACAGTGCCTCATCGTTGGTGTCAGTGGGAGGAATAGTGCCCCATCATTGGTATCAGTGGGGGGAATAGTGTCCCATCATTGGTGTCAGTGGGAGGAAATAGTGCCCATTGGACGTGTCATTGGTTCATCAGTGGGAGGAATAGTGCTCCATCATTGGTGTTGTCAGTGGGAGGAATAGCGCCCCATCGTTGGTGTAAGTTTGGAGAAATAGTGCCCCATCATTGGTGTCAGTGGGAGGAATAGTGCCCCATCATTGGTGTCAGTGGGAGGAATAGTGCGCCGTCATTGGTGTCAGTGGGAGGAATAGTGCCTGTTGTTGGTGTCAGTGAGAGAAATAGTGCCCAATTTTTGATGTGAATGGGAGGAATCAGTGCCTCATCGTTGGTGTCAGTGGGAGGAATAGTGCCCCATCATTGGTATCAGTGGAGGAATAGTTCCCCATCATTGGTATCATGTGGGAGGAATAGTGCCCGTCATTGGTGTCAGTGGGAGGAATTAGTGCCTCATCGTTGGTGTCAGTGGGAGGAATAGTAGTGCCTCATCATTGGTGTCAGTGGGAGGAATAGTGCCCCATCATTGGTATCAGTGGGGGGAATAGTGCCCCATCATTGGTGTCAGTGGGAGGAATAGTGCCCCATCATTGGTGTATCAGTGGGAGGAATAGTGTCCCATCATTGGTATCAGTGGGAGGAATAGCGCCCATCGTTGGTGTCAGTGGGAGGAATAGTGCCCCATCATTGGTATCAGTGGGGGGAATAGTGTCCCATCATTGGTGTCAGTGGGAGGAATAGTGCCCCATCATTGGTGTCAGTGGGAGGAATAGTGCTCCCATCATTGGTGTCAGTGGGAGGAATAGTGCGCCCCATCGTTGGTGTAAGTTGGAGAAATAGTGCCCCATCATTGGTGTCAGTGGGAGGAATAGTGCCGCCGTCATTGGTGTCAGTGGGAGGAATAGTGCCCATGGTTTGTTTCAGTGAGAGGAATAATGTCCAACTGTTTGTGTGAATGGGAGTAACAGTGCCCCATCGTTACAGTTACAGTACAGGAGATGACCAGAGACTGCGGTTTTTCGTCAATTTTCCAGCTTGATCGATAAAAGAAATGAAGAGGAACCGCGAAAAACAGCTGACGACATTGCCCCATGAATATCGGCCGATTATTCTTTCAGGTGAAATTTCGGACAATAAACGACCAGTCTATGGCCTGCATTACTAGAGTACTCCTTAAAAAAACTCCTCGAGGTGCGGGACCTTTGACTTCAATGTGCACATGCAGCGCTCCTACGTGAAAGTCTAACCAGTCTTTAGCATCTTATGTGGAAGGGAACACCCGCAAACCGACATTTCCTCTCCCCCCCATTCCCTTTTCCACTCTTAAACCAGCCATAGACGGATCGAAATTCAGCCGGTTCAGCAGGGACCAGCCAGATTTCAATCCATGCATGGGCAAGCTGGTTGTACTGAAGAAGTCGATCCATCGATTGGCTTCAGCACAACCAGCATGTAGTTTTTGTTCGTTCGATTACTGCCATCGGTTATAGCTGCTGGCAGGGTTCATTGTATTGGGATTGTGGGGAAACGTTCCGCTGTCAGAATACAATAGTTCTGCAGGAGGGATTCCCCATCAAACCCAACTGTGCTGATGGGGGAATCGAGCTATTTTCTTTCCTGCAACCCCTAGCTGCAGGAAAGAAAATTCAAATGAACAAATGAAACCAGCGCTCAAATCTTCACGCAGACTAAAGATAACTTGAACCTGTCATTCGTAGAGGTGCAGCCCTTAAAAACCGGGAAATCTTGATACTGGTGAACAAAAGCAAAACAGGGCGCACTCTCTTCCTGCATTAATGTAGTAAACCAAGAATTTAATAAAAAGCATAAAAATGCATACTCACAAACCAAAGCTCTGATGAAGGGAGTTAGTCTCCCGAAACGCGTTAGCTTACCTCACTAAGGGTCTATCGTCACTTTGGGCTGTCATTATGGACTCTTCTTGTCTGTTTTTATCCCCCTTTGGTTTGTGAGTATGCATTTTTATGCTTTTTATTAACCACTTCAAGTCTGGACACTTTCACCCCCCTTCCAGTCCGGACACTTTTTCCCCCCCTTCCAGTCCGGACACTCTCATCCCCCCTTCCAGTCCGGACACTTTCATCCCCTTCCAGTCCGGACACTTTCATCCCCTTCCAGTCCGGACACTTTCCCCCCCCCTCCAGTCCGGACACTTTCCCCCACTTCCAGTCCGGACACTTTCCCCCACTTCCAGTCCGGAC